TAAATCACTGTATCGAACAACAATATAGAGGAAATAGAACGTAAGCACTTTAGGGATTGGTGGTACATTTCAAGGCGGGCAGGATGCCAAGACCGCTCGACTGAACACAGTGTCTTTTCGAGAGCGGGTATCTAACCGATAGTGGGAAACAAATGTCATTGGGTTAGACCAGATGGCCACCTTACAGATGGAGTCCAGGGGCACTCCCCTGAGGAATGCCGTTGTTGCAGCCATAGCCCTTGTTGACCTCGGGCAGATCGAGGTCGGGGGAGGTTTGTGGGCAAGTTCGTAGCGAAGTTCAATAGCGGAGGCAATCCAGTGAGACACTGTGAAGAAATTGGTAACCCAAGTTTGTCCGTCGCATACGCGACAAAAAGTCTGTGGGTTTTATGCAGCGAAGCAGTCCTGTGTCTATAAAACAACAACGAAGATGGGCTTTGAAAGAAAGCCGGTAACACAATGTCCTCATTGACATGAAAAGCTGACACTATCTTGGGCAAGAAGGTGATGTCGGTTCTAAGCACCACCCGGTCAGCATGAAACAGCATGTAAGGTTCATCGACTCGAAGAGCCAACAACTCAGAGGGTCTTCGAGCCAACTTAATGGCGACAAGGAAAGCCACCTTCCAGGAAAGGAGTCGAAGATCCACCGTGGCAAGGGGTTCAAAGGCGGGACCCGAGAGGTGGGATAACACAAGGTCCAGATTCCATCCTGGTGTGGGTGGATGCACTGGAGGATGTAGATGGGTGTAACCCCTGATGAAGGTCTTCATTAAATGGTGCTGGAAAAGAGAAAGTGCCCCCAGAGTCTGGAGGTACCACGAGATTGCTGGCACGTAGGATTTTATCGAGGTCAACGTGAGGTTTTGGTTGGCCAGCGTCAGGAGAAAGTCTAAGATCGTTGGTATCGACGGCGGGAACTCCTCGGGCGGTCGGTCTCGTAGAAAACCCTGGAGGCGACCGATATGATAAGCGTAGGCCTTCGACGTCGAGGGTTTGTGTGCCGCTTTGAGGATCGAGTGGAGTTCGAGTCGAAGGGACGCTATGGAAGTATTCTCCAGGCTGTGAGGTGGAGGGACTTGACGTCCGGATGGAGAAGGCCACAACAAGTCTGGGTGATGGGGGAGGCGGATCAGCTGGCCGCCGGAGAGGTGATGAAGGGTGGGAAAACAGATTTGCCTCGGCCATTCCGGAGCAATCAGGATGCAGTTGGTGTATGCCATTTCGATCTTTTCGATGACCCTGAGCAGCAATGGTATCGGCGAAAATATGTACAGAAATTCCGTCGACCAATCCAGCAAGAAAGCGTCCCCGAGGCACCCTGTGGCCTCATCTCGGGGAAGACGAGCTCCGAACAGGAGAAGATGGTGGTTCTCAGGTGAGGCGAAGAGATCGGTAGTCGGCAGACCCCATTCTTCGAAGATGCCCTGTAGTATCTCTGGGTCAAGTTTCCACTCGTGGGATGTTGACGTCGAGTGGCTGAGGGAGTCGGCCTGATCGTTCAACTTGCCCGGGAGATGGATCGCCATCGGGAAGATCGCATGTTGGCGGCACCACTCTCACAATGTTATCGACAGTTTCAGAAGCTTTCTGGAACCCGTGCCTCCCTGTTTGTTTATATAGTACATGGCCACTATGTTGTCGGTCTGTACTTGGACCGTGTGACCCTTCATGATTGGGAGAAAAGCCTTGAGGGCTTTGAAAATCGCCAACAGTTCTAAATAGTTTATGTGGTGCAGCCTCTCCAGAGGAGACTAGACATCTTGAATGGAGAGGTGACCTGTGTGTGCTCCCCAGGCGAAGGTTGAGGAGTCTGTTGTCAGGGTTATGGAAGGTTGTTGGGGATGAAATGGAAGAGTCCAATACACAGTGGTAACAAAATTGAACAATATGCAAAGAGTTCTGTATAGTCTTTTAGTGATGTCGTTGTAT